AATGTCTATATAGTTTTGAGGTGAAAAGAAAAGAAAATGTGACCTAATTACACTATACCCATCCACGGTATAATTTTAGAGGCAATACACAGACATTTTCAACACAAAAGAACTCAGAAAATATAATACCCATGTGACCTTCCTGAAAAAAAAAAAACTACTTTGTAATAAATTCAGCCAATTAAGAGCTGAATCAAAATAAATAACTCAGGAATAGCAAAGCCATTATAAAAGGACAGGAAGTGCTTTTTATTTTAGTGTAGTCCTAATAGTTTAATTTTGCTTGAGGAGACATATCTAGAAAAATGTTTCTACAGCCAATGTCAGAGAAATTACTGCTTATGTTTTCCTTCACAAGACTTATGGTTCAGGTCCCACCTTTAGTTCTTTAATCCATTTTGAGTAGCTGTCTAGTTTTTCTGATACCATCTGTTAAAGAGTCTATGTTTTCCCCATTGTATATTCTTGCCTCTTTTATCAAAGATTAATTGACCATACAATTGTGGATTTATTTCTGGACTCTACCTACTGTTCTATTGATCTATATATCTATTTTTGTGCCAGTACCATACTGTTTTGATTACTACAGCTTTGAGTATACCCTGAAACCTGGAATTGTGATACCTACAGCTTTGTTCTTCTTTCTCAAAATTGCTTTGGCTAGGGCGCCTGGGTGGCTCAGTTGGTTGAGTGACTGCCTTCGGCTCAGGTCATGATCCTGGAGTCCCGGGATCGAGGCCCACATCGGGCTCTCTGCTCGGCAGGGAGTCTGCTTCTCCCTCTGACCCTCCTCCCTCTCATGCTCTCTGTCTCTCATTCTCTCTCTCTCAAATAAATAAATAAAATCTTTAAAAAAAAAAATTGCTTTGGCTATTTGGGGTCTTTTCTGGTTCCATACAAATTTTTGGATTATTTGTTCTAGCTTTTACATAGTGAAGAAAACCACCAACAAAACAAAAAGGCAACCTACTGAATGGGAGAAGATATTTGCAAATGACATATCCGATAAGTAGTTAATACCCAAAATATATAAAGAACTTATATAACTCAATACCAAAAAATAATCCAACTAAAAAGCGGGAGGAGCACGTGAACAGACATTTTTCCAAAGAAAACATACAGATGGCCAACAGATACATGGAAAGATACTCAATGTCACTAATCATCAGGGAAATGCAAATTAAAACCAGAACGAGATGTCACCTCACACCTGTCAGAATGGCTAAAACCAAAAATACAAGAAATAACAAATGTTGGCAAAGATATGGAGAAAAAGGAACCACCGTGCACTGCTGGTGGTGGGAATGTAAATTGGTGCAGCCATTGTGGAAACCAGTATGAAGGTTCCTTAAAAGATAAAAAATAGAATTACCATATGATCCAGTAATTTCACTGCTGGGTATTTACCCAAAGAAAATGAAAATACTAACTTGAAAAGATAAATGCACCCCTATGTTTATTGCAGCACTATTCACAATGCCCAAGATAAGGAAGCAACCTAGGTGTCCATCAGTAGATGAATGGATAAGGAAGATGTGGTATACACACACACACACACACAGGAATATTATTCAGCCATAAAAAAGAAAGAAATCTTGCCATTTGCAATAACATGAATGGACCTAGAGAATATAATGCTAAGTGAAATAAGTCATTTAAAGACAAACACCATATGATTTCACTCATATGTAGAATTTGAGAAACAAAACAAATGAACAAAGAAAACAGGAAACAAAAAAAAAAAAAACCAGACTCTTAAATACAGAGGACAAACTGGTAGTTGCCAGAAGGGAGGTGGGTGAGGGGAATGGGTGAAATAGATAAAGGGGATTAAGAGTACACTTATCTTGATGAGCACTGAGAAAAGTATAGAATTGTTGAATTATTTTATTATATACCTGAAACTAATATAACATTGTATAATTATACTTCAATTAAAAAAAAAAGGATGGGGCACCTGGGTAGCTCAGTTCGTTAAGTGTCCAGCTCTTGATTTCGGCTCAGGTCATGATCTCAGGGTCATGGGATGGAGCCCTGCCTCTGGCTCTGCCCTCAGTGTGCAGAGTCTGCTTGTCCCTCTCCTTCTGTTCCTCCCCCTACTCTCTCCCTCTCTCTCTCTCAAATAAATAAAAATCTTTAAAAAAATAAAAATAATTTGATTTTTTAAAGATTTTTTTAAAAGATTTTATTTATTTGTCAGAGAGAGACAGAGCGCATGCACAAGCAGGGGGAGAGGCAGAGGGAGAAGCAGGCTTCCTACTGAGCAAGGAGCCCAATGCAGGACTCGATCCCAGGACGCTGGGATCATGATCTGAGCTGAAAGCAAATGCTTAACCAACTGAGCTACCCAGACATCCCCCCCAAAATAAAAATAATTTTAAAAAAAGAATAGCAACTGTACCTCAAATCCATTTAAAGATTAGTCCAAGACTAATCAACTATGGGAATTGTAATTACAGAAAGTGAATAGTGTAAATCTGCATAAAATAAAAATTATAAAATAATTAAAATTGGGAAATATAACAAGGAAAAAAATAAGATGAGGAAATACTAAATACCTTCATCTTTTATAGTAGGACGTCAGTTGTTATAATTGAAAAATGTGATCAAAAAGTAGTGAATGGAGAAGCTCCTGAGTGACTCAGTTGGTTAAGCATCTGACTTTTTTTTTAAGGTTTTATTTATTTATTTGACAGAGAGGGACACAGCAAGAGAGGGAACACAAGCAGGGGGAGTAGGAGAGGGAGAAGCAGGCTTCTGGCTGAGCAGGGAGTCCGATGCGGGGCTTGATCCCAGGACCCTGAGATCATGACCTGAGCTGAAGGCAGACACTCAACAACTGAGACACCCAGGTGCCCCTAAGCATCTGACTTGATTTCACCTCAGGTCACGATCTCAGGATTGTGAGATCAAGCCCCGTATCAGGCTTCACGCTGGGCATGGAGCCTACTTAAGATTCTCTCTCCCTCTCCCTCTGCCTCTACCCCACACTCCCCTCTAAAAAAAATAATGAATGGACTTTAATAATAATAATAATGAATCTTCATCATAGGGTCTTAGAGTGATTTTAGAATGACTTTTGTGAAGTTAGGTTCAATTTTAATAATTCTCTTATTTTTTTATTTCAGATTCTCTTTCTACTGTTGGAATCAAGTACAAATAGTTTTTATTTTAATTAATAAAATTTTATAACAGAATTTATGATTATCTACATTGCTATATACCCATATATCTATTAAGACAGTATATAAAACTAGGTTTTATAAAATAAAAAATAAGTTTTTATTTATTTATTAAAACTGTTTTACATAATGTTTACCTAAGGGTGACAATGGTTGTTTCTGGGTAAGAAATTTTTGGTGATTTTATTTTATTTATTCATTTATTTATTTTAAGATTTATTCATTTTCAGAGAAGGAGGATGGGCAGAAGGAGAGAGAGAATCTCAAGCAGACTCCCCACAGAACGTGTAGCCCAAGTGTTCCATTCCATGATTCTTAATATTGAAATCTGCAGTTTTGTTTGTTTGATTGCTTATTTTCATTATTTGATCAATTACTTTAATTTCATCTTTTTTGTCACTTTATATTAGGTGCTTTGCTTATAAAGTGCATATAGCACGTTTTTTCCCAATTATCAAAATCCACCAATCATAAGGTAGAAGAGTATGGATTTAAGAAATTTTAAAGTTACATAGGAAAAGTTTAATCTTACTAGTAATCAAAAAGATGAAAGTTAAGAAACAGAATGCATTCAAATTGCAGAGGTTTCTTTTTTTAAAAAGATTTTATTTATTCATTAGAGAGAGAGAGAGAGAGAGCAGGCAGGGAGGAACAGAAGGGGAGGGAGAGGGAGAAAGAATCTGAAGCAGACTCTGTCTGCACTGAGTGCAAGGCCCAAAGTGGCACTGGATCCCACAACCAGCAGATCACGACCTGAGCTGAAACCAAGAGTCCGAAGCTCAACTGACTGAGCCACCCAGGTGCCCTGGTTTCTTGTATTCAATAAAGCCCAATGTTGGTGAGAATATGGTACTTTGAAAGCTCTCATACATTGATGATGGGAGAATAAAACAATACAATTAAAAGCATAATTTGACAATAGATACCCTTTGGCCATTAGTTTGGCCCCATGACTAATGGATGCCAAGTAGACAAATACAGAATCTAAGAAACCACAGAATATAACAGACAGGATTGCCAAATTTTTATCTCTATGATAATGATTTTAAGGATTCCAGAATCCTTCACACAGAACTTTGAAATTGCATACAGTACATGGCCATCACCTACAACTGAGCAAAGGTGTAGGAGAGAAGGAAAAAGTTACCTTGACTCTGGGACCCAGAGTTAAAGAAGGGAAATTAGAGGAAAGACGTGAACAAATATAAAAGCAACCTATAAAAGACTTATGACTCTGGTACCATTAAATTGCTCCTTTTACTTATCCTAATACAATCCCAAGACAAAAGTAATCCCATACTATCTCAGATGAAATATGTAGACTTTGAAACCAAACTGCCTGAGTACAAATTTGCCCAGCTTCACTAATTATGAGACCTTGTGCAAGTTACTTAACCATTTTGCACCTTAAGTGTCTTCATCTATAAAAGCAGGAATAAGGATTGCTGAGAGCATTACCTGACTTAATATATGGATAGCTTAGGACAATGCCTGGCCTATAAGAAATGTTTTATAACTTTCAGATTTCTTTATCTAAAATGCAGCGGGAAAAGAAGCTGCTTTTTCTTGATCTTAACTGAAGGTGTGAGTGGAAGTTTTTCTCACTTTCACATCATGAGTACCACTAACTGAAAGAAATTGTAAAATTCCTTTGATTATAAGATGTACCCTAACTTCAGAGAAGTTAAAATGAAATAACATAATATTTATCTTAGAATAGAAATAAGTTAGTATGCTTTAATTTAATTCTAAGTTAATGTGTGCGTGACATCCATGCAAAATAATTTGATTCAAATTATGAATAATGTAACTTCTTACCTCTGTAAATTCCATTTTGTTCAATCTTGGTTCCATTGAGTCAGCAATATCCAATTGTTTGCAACATGCTTCTAATTATGGAATAAAAGGTATTTGCTAGTTAGTTTGGTTGTAATACATTCATATTTCATATTCATTTTATAGCACTTTAGAAGAACGTAAAATTATTTCTTAATTAATGTCTATCTTAATATCCATCAATATTTACAATAAAGCAAATGATATATAGTTGGGTAACATTCCAATTACTACAAAATTATTGCTTTTCCTGGCTTTTATTTAACCAAGCAACCCAAACACTGAAATAAATGTGTCTACATTTTTAACGACCAGCCTGAGATAAAGCAAAAACAAATATGCACATCAATAGTATAAAGAAGACTATGAAAACAACTGTGTTGGGTTATGCTAGCATTTACAGAAGCAGGTCCTAAAACACAACACTTCTACAAACCTTCTTTTTAAATATTTTGTCTTTAATGCTTCTTAAATTAAATAAATAATATACAAATATGTTCTTTTAGTAAAAGATTCAAATAGTACAAAAACATAAGCAGCAAAACTTGAATATCTCCCTTTTCCCCTGCCCCCCACCAGCATTCTCACTCCCCCTTCCCCCACCACCCCGGAAGGAACCACCATCAACCCTTTGTTGCCACCCTTCCAGCAACCTTTCTAGGTATTTTTGTTTATAACATACATTTTTTTTTTTAAGATTTTATATATTTATTTGACAGAGAGAGAGACACACAGCAAGAGAGGGAACACAAGCATGGGGAGTGGGATAGGGAGAAGCAGGCTTCCTGTGGAGCAGGGAGCCTGATGCGGGGCTTGATCCCAGGACCCTGGGATCATGACCTGAGCCGAAGGCAGACGCTTAACAACTGAGCCACCAGGCGCCCCAAGTCATGGGTTTAAATAATAACCTGGGTAGTGTGTATAATGTGTAAAATGATAATAGAGCCAAAAAGAAAACTCTGAAAACAACATTTAAGGTACAAATAAGAACCAAGAAACAAAATGCTAAGAGGTGATCGATGATAGATGAAAAATCAAGAAAGAATGATATCACAAAAGCCAAGAAAAAAAGAGTTTCATGAATAACAGAGTGATCACTAGTGGTAAATATGGCAGTTAGTTCGAATAAAGATTTTTTTTTTAAACCTCCTTTTGATATGACAATTATGTAATCTTTATTGACCATAACAAAAAACAAACACAAACTGTGTAAAAGTTCATGAGGAAAGCACTGGATTCCTCTCCTACTTCTAACCCCAAATCCTCCTGCCTATCATGGTCTGGTACATATAAGATTCTTTAGTCACTCTTGATTTTTGTAACTGCTTTTTATGAGATATCAGTTACTGTCATAAGAAGATCATATAAACTTTAGTATAAACTTATGCATTAGATGCTGTTATCCTCATCCCAGACCTTCCCCCAAGCTCTAGAAGATTATGCAAGCCACACTGGTTTCTAATGGTAATAGCTGTTATTAAGTGTATGTGTCTGTCCCCTGGAACTTAAGGAGGAACTTAAGGAGAGGAAAGATGCCATAGTCCTCTTCCCATCCTCTACCCCATCACAGTATCTGGAACTAGGTGAGGGCTTAATAAATATTGAATGAATGAATGAATGAATGAACGGTACAGGAAATCTGAGGTAGTATAGGAGGTGAGAGGACAAAAAAATCAGTCAACTAGAATGGTCTGGAATTTCTCTAATTTTACCACAATCTCAAATAGAGCTCTCTTCACTCACTCCTTCTGTACCTTCATCAAAAAGTAAATAAATAAAAGAAGTTATCGCAAAGATTTTCTGAAAGAGGAGTTGAGGTTGTGCTAACCATGAAGAATTCTAGATTTTGGATAGGCTGTGAACATGTGGGAGAAAGGGTTGTCAGCAAGGCCCAAATCATGTTTGGGGACAAGTGATCAGGAAGATGGGAAGCATATTTTATTTTTAAAAGTGAGACTAGATTTCAATCTATTGTTATCAATGTAATAGTGGTCAAAAACCAATTGAAAAAATCATTTGGATATAAATTATGTATACCTAAGGAACTAAACTCTAGTGCTTTATTCTACAAGTCAGAATTTTTTTAAGTTTATTTCTTTTAGTAATCTGTACACCCAATGTGGGGCTCCAGCTCACAATGCCAAGATCAAGAGTCGCATGCTCTTCCAACTGAGCCAGCCAGATGCCCCTACAAATCAGAATTTTTGCTTAATCTCATATGAGGAAACAATTATGAAAATAAAAGCATCAAAATCTGTGGTTCTCTATAGTTGTAGTACTGTCTCCCTCTACCCCCAGTGAGCATGGTGGAAATTTGTAGTTTGTTTTTGTTGGTACAGTGATGGGGAGTAGGAGTAGGGTCAGAAATCCTGCAATTCTTGAGGCACATGGGTGGCTCAGTTGGTTGAGCAGATGACTTGATTTTGCTCAGGTGATCTCAGGGTCCTAGGATGGAGCCCTACGCTCAGTGGGGAGTCTGCTTGAGGATTCTCTCCTTCTTCCTCTGGCCCTCCCCCTGCTCTTGCTCTCTCTCAAATAAATAGATATTCAAATAGGGGAAAAATCTGCTTAGAATAAATTTGAGTCTAGAAACTATTTTACATATAAACACAGTATATATATATATATATACATTTTTTTTTTTTTAAAGATTTTATTTATTTGACAGAGCGAGATACACAGCAAGAGAGAGAACACAAGCAGGGGGAGTGGGAGAGGGAGAAGCAGGCCTCCTGCAGAGCAGGAAGCCCGATGCGGGGCTCGATCCCAGGACCCTGGGATCATGACCTGAGCCGAAGGCAGACGCTTAACGACTGAGCCACCCAGGTGCCACCCAGTATATTTTTTATTGTTAAATTTTCCAAGACTGTAACTACTATGAAAATTTGAGAGTGGATTGTACTTTGCTTCCTTCTGAAACTTTACCAAGAGTTGTCCACCATTTCAGAAAATTATTTAATGGGAGATAATGTCATAATTTGTGTCTGAACTCCAATACAACACACCTGCATCAGTCTGCATTTGTAGCTCTCCTCTTTATGGGGATTCTATGTATATATACAAATCATTCATTTTGCCCTTACTTCAAAATGTCAAATACGAAGAAAATGGTCGATTGGATATAATTTTACTTTTCTTATGTCTAAACATTCATTATAAGTACAAATGTCTGATACATTATGTCTTCTAGTGAAGTTATAACCAAACATTTATATATTGAAATACAGTCCATATAATTTTCTTAGGTCTTTTCTTGTATTTTTCCTTTATATCACAGTTAGGACATAATACCTTTCTTTTTTAAATTCTGTGTATGTAAGTAAGTAATGATTTTCTAGGAACTTGATGGGATGATAAAGGGGTAATACAGAGTATTTATAATAAAATGGAGCACTCGACTAAAAGGATCAAAAATCACTGATTGCTTTTCTGTTTTTCTACATTCTCCATCTGGAAAGGGCAAAAGAACCAAAGTACATGTATAAGAACTTTGAATAACATATATCTCAATATTGACTCTTCATCTTAATCCATCATCTGTTCCCTCACCCCCCTCCACCCTTATAAAAGAGGGAAAAATAGAAATAATACAGGAATAGGCAGGTTTACCAAGATGGAAATCTGGATTTTGAAAAAATTCATGAAGAACATTCTGAATCTGCAAATCAAAGAAAACAGACCATGCATTACATCTCAATTGCCATATATTTAGTGTTTTAAACTAAAAGCCATCTAGAGTCTTTCTGTTTAAGTCTTGAGTAATCCTTTTAAACCAGGGACTGAAATTATTAATAATTAACATTAAGTTCATAGACTACTTCAAGGTATATCAAATGTTTTTTCATACACATCTTCAATGATTCCCATTGAGAACGTTCTGTGTGAGAAGTAGGATGCTGAGAGTGATCCTATTTTGTCCTCTCCAAGGACATTTCTAGCAACCTTCAGACACTGGGCATCTTTGGCAACCAGCTTGGCAATCCAAAGAATCCTCTATAATTCCTTGTCCTTCAATTACTAAAAAACAAAACTTCTGAGTTCTTCTTGGTCCATTTTTAAAAAATAGATTTGAGGGACCTCTGGCTAACTCAGTTGGTAGAGCTTGTGACTCTTGATCTCCAACGTGAGTGCAAGCCCCACACTGGGCATAGAGTTTACTTTAAAAAAGATAGACTCGATTTTTTAGAACAGTTTTAGGTTCACAGAAAAACTGAGCACAAAGTACAGAGAGTTTCCATATACTCCCGGTCCTCCCCACCACATACACAGCTTCCCCACTGTCAACATTCTCTACCACAGTGGTACATTTGTTACAATCAATGAACCTCCATGAAACATCATCATCCAAAGTCTATAGTTTACATTAGGAATCACTCTTGATGTTGTACATTTTATGGGTTTTGGCAAATGTATCATGACATGTATCCATCATTATTGTATTATACAGAATTGTTTCATCACACTAAAAATCCTCTGTGCTCTGCCTATTCATCCCTCTTTCTGTCTTCACTCCTAGAAACCCTGATCTTTTTGCTGTCTCCATAATTTTTTCCAGAATGTCATAAAGTTGGAATCATACAGTATGTAGCTTTTTCAGATTGGCCCCTTTCACTTAACAATACACATTTAAAATTCTTCCATGTCTTTTCATGGCTTGATAGCTCATTTATTTTTATTTTTATATTATTATTATTTTTAAGCTCATTTCTTTTAGTGCTGAATAATATTCCATTGTTTAGATGTACCACACTTTATTTATACATTCAACCACTGAGAGAAATCTTGGTTGTTTCCAAGTTTTGGCAATTATGAATAAAGCTGCTATAAACATCCACATGCAGATTTTTGTGTGGACATAAGTTTCCAACTCCTTTTGGCAAATACCAATAAGCATGATAGCTGGATCATATAGTAAGAGTATGTTTGGTTTTATAAGAAACTGTAAACTGTCTTCCAAAGTGGTTGTACCATTTTGCGTTAACACCAACAGTTTCCAACAGTTGCTGTGTATCTTTGTCAGCATTTGGTGTTGTCAAGGTTCCAGATTTTGACAATTCTGATAGGTGTGTACTGGTATCTCATTGTTTTAATTTGCATTTCCTTGATGACAAGTGTGGAGAATATTTTCATATGCTTATTTGCCATCTGTATGTCTTTGGTGAAGTGTTCAGGTCTTTTGCCCATTTTTTAAAAAGATTTTATTTATTTATTTGACAGAGAGAGAGAAAGAAAGCACACAATCAGGGGGAGCTGCAGAGGGAGAGGGAGACAGGGAGCCCGATGTGGGGGCTCCATCCCAGAACTCTGGGATCATGACCTGAGCTGAAGGCAGACACTTAACCAACTGAGCCACCCAGGTACCCCTACCCATTTTTAAAATCATTTGTTCATTTTCTTATTGTTGAATTTTAGGAGTTCTTTGTATATTTTGGATAATAGTCCTTTATCAGGTATCTCTTTTGCAAGTATTTTCTCCCAGTCTGTGGCTTGTCTTCCTTGGTCTATTTTTAATAATTCACTTTGAATTGAAAATATGCTTCGCATTGTATCTAACCAATAAATGTTCTCACATCTATATACACCTAAGAGAAAATGTTTAACTGTTAGAGTACAGTTGTTTTCTGATGCTAAAAGACACATGTTCTTAGTTTACAGAAGTAATGAGTCACCCACATACAAAAAAACAAAGAAACAAATGAAATCTATGTCTATGCATAACAAAGAGTTTGGGAACCTCAGCCAGAGTCAATATTTTAGAAATTTAGCTAGAATCTTTTGTTTTTTTAAATGCTTAATAGAAAATTGAAGAAACTGACTCTCATGGACCAGACAGGTCAGGAATCAGCTTACCTCAGCAAGACTGAAAATTTAGAGATAGATTTCTAGCACTCCACTCAATATTGCAGCAATCATCCTCTTATCACCCACCCCACCTACCCTTCACAATATCCTCCTTTCTTACCACTACCAGGGGAATCATTCCTTTCGGGTCTAGAATCCATTCACTGAACTGCTCCTGCAGAGCCTGCTTCCGTGTATTGGCCACCTGGACTTTGACTTCTGTTATGCATTGTCTTTGTTCTCGTTTCTGTTTAATACTCTCCTTCATCTTGCTTATTCTAAAGGACATTGAAATAAAAGACATATTGAGTTAAGACCATTGAATTTCATTCAGATTGTTCAAATGGCAGAAAAGAATAATTCAGAGCCTTATTTAAACTTTGTTCCTATCTTTAGGGCGCCTGGGTGGCTCAGATGGTTAGGCATCTGCCTTCGGCTCAGGTCATGATCCCAGGGTCCTGGGATAGAGTCCCGCATCGGGCTCCCTGCTCCTTGGGAGCCTGCTTCTCCCTCTGCCTCTCTCTCTCTATCTCTCATGAATAAATAAATTAAAAAAATAAAAAATAAAAAAATAAACTTTGTTCCTATCTTTAAAAAAAATAAATAAGGGGTGCCTGGATAGCTCAGTCAGCAAAGCGGCTGCCTTCGGTTCAGGTCATGATCGAGCCCCACATCTGGCTTTCCCTGCTTCTCCCTCTCCCTCTGCCTGCTGCTTCCCCTGCTTGTGTTCTCTCTCTCTCTCAAATAAAGAAATAAAATATTTTTAAAAATAATAAATAAATAAATAAAAGAGGCGCCTGGTTGGCTCAGTCGTTTAAGCCTCTAACTCTTGATTTCAATTTTTTTTTTTTTTTAAGATTTTTTATTCATTTTTTTGAGAGAGAGAGAATGAGAGAGAGCAAGCACATGAGAGGGGGGAGGGTTAGAGGGAGAAGCAGGCTCCCTGCCGAGCAGGGAGCCCGATGCGGGACTCGATCCTGGTACTCCGGGATCATGACATGAGCCGAAGGCAGTCGCTTAGCCGACTGAGCCACCCGGGCGCCCTAACTCTTGATTTCAGCTCAGGTGGTAATCTCAGGGTCATGAGATTGGGTCTGCGTGCAGCTCCATGATCAGTGCGGAGTCTGCTTAAGATTCTCTCTCCCTCACCTCTTCCCCTCCTGCTTGTGCTCTCTCCCTTTCTCTCTCTCAAATGAATAAATAAATCTTAAAAATAAAATAAAAATAAAAATAAACTTTGTTCCTGTCTTTATGCCATGAGATCTTCCTTTTTTTTTTAATTTTATTTATTTATTTGAGAGAGAGAGAGCACAGAGTGAGAGGGATAGGGACAAGCAGACTCCCTGCTGAGCACAGAGCCTAATTCAAGGTTTGATCCCAGGACCCTGAGATCATGACCTGGGCCGAGGGCAGACTCTTAACCAAGTGAGCCACCCAGGCGCCCCCCATGAGATCTTTCTTGATTTAGGCCTGAAGTGACCTTTCCTCCCCCAAGCACTTACTGAATTTGGCTAAATCATAGGCTGTCATCTAGTATTATTTGACTTTTTATAGAGGTGGGCCTTATTTTACCCAACAAAATACCATACGTAAGAAGTACTAAAAATAAACCTAAAAGCTGCCACATAGACCTAAAAGCAAAGCCGAATGCACTAAAGTCTTATAGTGGTGGGGGTCTCTATTCTCTAGACACAGAAATCATCTGGAAAGATTCTAATTCCAAGGCTAGAGTGGAAGCCTAGAAGTTGCATTTATAACCAGCATTTTAGGTAATTCTGATGCCTCAGATCAAACTTCTGATTTCTGTCTAGGAATATGTATTTCCTTTAAATATCTAGAGTCAAACACTTTGACAGCCTCTAAGCATAATAGTTATCCATATATTCAGATAGAGCTACATCTCCCGCATTGGAAATGGAGAAAGTATCATGATTTTTTTTTTTTAAAGATTTTATTTATTTATTTGACAGAGAGAGAGAGACAGTGAGAGAGGGAACACAAGCAGGGGGAGTGGGAGAGGGAGAAGCAGGCTCCCCGCGGAGCAGGGAGCCCGATGTGGGGCTCGATCCCAGGACCCTGAGATCATGACCTGAGCCGAAGGCAGACGCTTAATGACTGAGCCACCCAGGCGCCCGAAAGTATCATGATTTTAATTGTTCCCATATTGATCATCCCTATTAGGACTTCAAAACCTCTGAACTGGTTTTGATTGAAACACCAAAATGACTTAGAATAATCAAAATAGCTGCTGGTTTCAAATACAATTTGTTTGAAGCAGGTCTTCATCTTTCAAAGAAAAAAACTAAGGTGATCTGACAGATTTAGAAATGCAAAAGACTTTTCAGGTAGGACTAGCAAATTGGATACCTCTAATAATCCAAAAGAATCAATCAAAATCTGTCATTTCTTTATTATGCCCATATAAGGCCTTCAAAATTCTCGAGGTAAATAGGCCTTCAAAAATAAACTTTGAAGCTTGAAAATAAAAATAGGCAAGTGGCTTAATAGTACAGAAGGACCTGTTTTTGAGCTGCTGGAAGATTAATTAAGATTGTAAAGGAAGTGCTAAGTTTCTCTGATGCAAATGCGAAGCAGCCAAACCTCCACCACTGATCTCAGTTCCGCCAGTCCCTTCTCTGCTGGCTCTCTGGTCCTTCCACCACTCTTTCTACCTCTGTTGCTTTACCAATCTCCTCCTCTCCTTCTTCCCCTTTTTTCCTCTCTCTATACAGCATTCTCCCCAATTTCTATCTTCATTCTTCTTTTTTAAAGATTTTATTTATTTACCTGAGAGAGAGTGAGAGAGACAGAGATCACAAGACCTGAGAGAGAGAGAGACAGAGATCACAAGCAAGGGGGAGGGGTAGAGGGAGAAGCAGACACCCACCCCCACCCCCTTGCCGAGCAGGGAGCCCAATGTGGGCTAGATCCCAGGACTCTGGGATCACAGCCTGAGCCAAAGGCAGACTGCTTACCCGACTCAGCCATCCAGGCGCCCTCTATCTTCATTCTTACATGACTTTCTATTCTTTGTATCTTTCTTCTAGGCTTTTCTCATCATTCAAACACTCACTTACTCACTAAGTCAGTCACTTATTCATTTGTTATGCAAACATTTCTTGGGCACCTGCTATGGATGCTGCCATTATAAAGCTTAGGGTCCAATGCAGAACAAGAAAAGAAAATAATATTGCATAGTAAGTACTGGGTATCTCCAAATTCTCATGTGTACCAATCACTGAAATAAAAAATGGATGAACAAAACTGGGTTTCTGTCATGTTTCCATCTGCCTAAAATACTTTTCTCCCTCTCTGTGTTTCACTTGATCCTCCACATCTGCTCAGACATCACTTCCTCCCTCTTATTAATAAAGAAACAAAACCTCGTTTGTATTTCAGAGCCACTGTACATGAGACTCCAAATATAATCCAAATGGATTTTAAATTGATTATTCAGGGAATGAATAAAATTTCTCTTCTGTGGTCTGCATTATCTCATGAGGATATATATGTACATCAATCAACAGAACTTTATAGCATGCAAAACTCTTAACTTTGCATAATGTAGGGTAGACATAAACTACAAACAGATTCTAAGTATAAATCCACATTTAAAATGTGGTAAAATGCAAAAATGGTCACAAATTCTTTCCATTCCTGTGCATATGTCCATTTGTAGGCAATGTGATTTTGCAGCTTCTCCCATTAAGAGATAGAATCTATTTCTGCATCCTTTGTGTCTGACTGTGGCCAAGTGACTTGCTTTGGCTAATGGGCCATTAGCAAACATGATGCAAGCAGAAAGTTGAAAAATGTTATCAATTATATCACAACAAAATTGGAAAAAAAAGAAAAGAAAAAGAAAAATGTTTGAACATTGGGGCTAGCCCTTTTTTATTGAACTTAGAAGCCCTTCCACCACCACCTTGGAAATGGGCCTGCGGGATGATGATCCAGTTACCTCCATTATTTTTGTAAACAGCCAACATCTTACTGCAATGTATGAGTGAGTCTAATTGATACCATGTGGAGCAGAGATGAGCCATAAGCTCAGCCCATAGTTATCAACCTACAAAATCATGAGCAAATAAATTATTATTGATTTAGGCCACCAAGTTTTGAGGCATTTTGTTATGTAGCAAAAGCTAAATAAGAAAACTTTCCCCATCTTAATAAGTGTTTTTGAGGTGTTTTAAAGAAAAACACAGTATAAATCTAACTGGTTACAAAATAGAAGTAGGAGCACTTGGGTGGCTCAGTTGGTTAAGCGTCCAACTCTTGATTTTGGCTTAGGTCATGATCTCAGGGTCATGAGATCAAGCCCCATGTTGGGCTCCATGCTGGGCATGGAGCCTGCTTAAGATTCTCTCTTCCTCTTCCTCTACCCCTTCTCCCCCCCAAAAATAGAAGTAAAAATATTCCCTATCCTAGTTATGACAATCCAAATTCTATTTATTCATTCAAGCAGTACAAAGAATATCTTCCTCTTATAGCAGCATCTGCCTTTATTATATTAAAACTGAATGTTGTATTTCATCAAAATCAGTTTTAACCAGCTTATGTGAGAACTGACCATAAACTTTGAGTGACCCCAGTATACCATTAACTGGACCTAACTGAAGACTCTTTTTGGTCTGTTGAACAATGGGACTTGTTTTAATATCATGTACAAACATATGGACTCATTCTGTCCTATACAGTGTGATAGTTTTCAGTTTTTATAAGTATAAACATTATAAATCTCCCTAACACTTTTTAAAACTCCTGAGTTTTCCCCCTCTGCAAACTAGTCAGTGAATTCTTCACAGCTGTATATTGCCTTGCCTGGCAAGTTAATAAATTCAGTTTTTGTTTGTTTTTAAGTTCTGGTGATCTTAGTTTCAAAAAGCTAAACTGGACTTCTTGCCATTCCAGGAGGATGTCCATATTATTTCTGTCATGAGTATTCCTATAAAAATGCATATATGACATGTGTCTACTTAATTATTATACTTACTTAATTCTAATATTTTGTATATTCAACATATATCTTATTATGAAATGAGGTTCCTGATGAAAGATGTAATAGCTTAAGAAAAATGTAAGTTACTGGTTAATCAATGATATTTGAACAGATTAGACCTATTTAGAATTTTATAAAATGATGAAAAACATTTATCATAGCTTCCCCATTAAATACTGATAATTAATTCCAGAGATTTCAAAATCACCCCAAATTAAGACATACATTATAATAATCATATGTATCTAAAGACAAAAACAAAAAAGCAAAACACAC